TTTTAATTGCTGGTGTGAATTGCTTCAATTTGAAATTCATAATACTGAATCTTATGTCTCCTACCCTTCTGGTCTGAAATCTTCCCATCTGGACATGGAATGCAATTGTAGCAGCAGAATGGCTCCCCTTCTTTCTTTTTTCTTCTGTAGCCTGGTTGGCATTTCTCATTACACAGAGCAACAGGCAGGATCTGTCCATAGGACAAATAAATAAATAAGGAAGTCCTTGAAAACATAGTAGTCTACTTAATAGAGAAGCATTTTTTAATCTGGGGAACTTTTTTTTTTTTTGATAACTGAGTGGAAAGGATAAGCATCTAGGTGATTTTAGAAAATCAATGTTAGGTCAATGACTACAACTCCTGAATCAGATATTAATAACAGCTAATGGATTTCTCAACTCTTCAAGTCCCCAAATTATTAAGTCTTAAACTAAAGATATATCTATTAAAAAATAAAGAAAGCCTTCCAAATTCCCTCTTAGCCAACTCTTGACTATTCTGTATAAATGATGTAGCCCTCAGTCCGAACACTAAATATTATAAGCAGCCCTTGGCTATCAAAAGATTGAACACTCCTGTTCCAAATGAATCTGATATCATAATGCATCTCAAAATAAGTGAGAAAGAAATACATTTTATACATTCTAAGAGAATTTCATATTGTTGGGAAGGATTTAAAAAAAACACAAATCAACAGATTAGTGTTGTTGTTGTTTTTTAATTCTTTCCTCTTCCTTGCCAGTCTATAGCTGGGTTTGATTTAGAGTTAGAAGCTAGTTATTTTAAATGATAGCTTGTTAGTATAAGAAAATATTCACTGATTTACCTCTAAGCTGTACTGGCTAGAAATCATTCATTAATTACAAAGACTGGGGCACTTTCCCATTTAGCTTTTCATATTTGAAATTATTCATACTTCACCTGATTAAATGAACTGTGCCATGTGATGGCCTCTTCATGAATAGTTAATTTATGACCATGTAAAGCCTGTGGATCCAACCATCCAACTTTCACACGAAGAAGGGATTTGTTTGGGAAAGTGACCCAGTTGATAACATCAAATCCAGCTACCAATTCACCATTCTCATCAAAAGATATGGTGTCTCCAGCAGTGTTGTTAAATGAGATGGTCCTCAGAAAATGGTGAAGCTAAAGTGAAAGAGGCAAACCATTTTAAAATATCATAAGGAGAGAAGAAGTGTGTTTATAAAATTTACAAAATGGAAAAGCAGGACTTGTCCTCCAGCTTCATTTCAATAAGTACTTTCTCTCAATATTGTTAAATATGTGGAAAATAAGAATATAAAATAAGAATATAAAAAAGCTATACTATATGAATCCAAACTTCATCCCCCTAATAATTGGTCATTGACATCCAGAGTAGGGCAAGGGGTACAAATGACAAAAATGTTTATGAGATCATAATGCAAACTCCTCC